TGCGAAACTACATACTTCTTAAATTGCTCGAACCTGTCTTTCAGACACATTCTGACTTGCGATTCAGCCCGACGGCTGCGAGGACCAGGCAATGCTAAACAAGCTGCAGCAGCTAGTCCTCAGAGGTGTCGGGACCTTGGCTAAGATTGTGGCTGGGTTCACATGTAGCTGTACCTATCGATGGGTCTACCCGCGGTATTGAGAGTGGTACGCTGTCTCCTAATTCATTGCTTACGTCTGCACTCTCTCGGTCAAGTGGTCTTCCTGTCTGTCTTTCAGGCTGTCCGTGCGTCCGTCCATCCGTCCACGTCCGTCCGTCTGTCCGCCTCCGTCCGTCCATCCGTCCGTCCGTCCGTGCAGGTCGCTGGCAGGTTCGACAGGCAGGTAGGTGGGTGGCAGGCAGGTAGGTAGCGCACATGCATACATGGGTTGATGGATGGATGTACGTCCGCACCTCGGTGGCCCAGGATGTGGCATCCTGCAAAATCCCCCAAAGCTCGCTGTCCACTCGCGTGCATCGCTGGGCCATTTATCCCAGGTGCCCAGCGCGCTGCGGCCGCAAGTGTGGGCAGAGCACGTCCAGCGAATTTCTTTGGATACGGACGGCAGTAGCGCCACCTTCTGGGCCTGTGATCTTCATGCTTTTGGCTTGGTTTGGTAGCATTTTGGGATGCAGGGTTCAGCTTGAAGGAGGCAAGATGGCTCCATTTGAGGTCTTTGGACGAACCCCGTTGTGTTGCTTCCGGCCTGCTACATGAGCTGAAAACTCTTTCTACATTGCATGTCCACGCCCAAAGACTCATTCACTCCTGCCGTCTTTTACCTTGAGCTTCAAGCCGGTGGGCGGACAAAAGTCCGAAATTCGTTGGGTTCTACAGGGGTCCTGGAAGCATCGAGCCAGGCTCACGCTGGCCAGCCGCGTGGCGACGCAGGACGGAGCTACGTACGGCCGCGATCCGGAGGCCATGAGATGTTCAAAATCGGGATCTTGAAGTTTGGAAGCTCCGGACTGCGCGACAGGGTCATCATCATCAACAACATCATATTGAACTGGCAACCCAGGTGCATACCAATAAAACCAACGTTCAAGTTTGGGTTTGCCTGCATGCCCGACCGAAAAGCGACAGGCGCCTCCCACACCTGACACCCAATACCATGACGCCTTGATTCCAAGCCTCCAGGCGAGTGGCGAAGATGCTGCGGAACAGGAGAGGGTGTCGAAGTCAGGTTCAAAGGCCAGAGCAAGGGCTTTTGCTCAGGCGCTTCGGAAATGATGAGCCGGAATGTGCATTGGCATGAAAGCAGATGCATTGTGCGAATGGGTTTCGGAAGCTTAGATGCATGGCTTGTCGTACTTCTCGTTCACCTCCTTGAAGGTGCAAGAACCCATGTGCGAAAAGAACCAATGCATCCTTCCCCTCGCTGCGATTTTGCTGAACTCTAAACCCTAAGCGAATGGCAAACTCGACCTTAAACCACACATGTATACCTCGGGAGGAGTATCGTCATCTCCTGGAGCGAGGCCTGCCACAACTTTCCGATGCGAGTGTGCAGCTCCAGGAAGATGCCGGGAGCCGAGTATTTCTAGTAATTCTACACTGAATGCCTCAGAAGCATGGTCGTCGCCGTAGTAGGGAGAAGTGGAGCAGGAGTAGGAGTACAATAGAAGTAGCAGTAGAAGTAGGGGTGGGAGTGGGAGCAGGAGTGGTTGTACCTAGTAGCAGTAGTAGTAGTAGTAGTAGTAGTAGTAGTAGTAGTAGTCGTAGTCGTAGTCGTAGTCGTAGTCGTAGTGGTAGTCGTAGTCGTAGTCGTAGTCGTAGTCGTAGGAGGAGGACGAGGAGGAGGAGCAGGAGCAGGAGCGGCAGCAGCGGCTGCTCTGGGTGGTGGTGGCAGCGGCGGCCGCGGCGGCGGTGGTTGTAGTCGTACCGCAGTAACAGGAGCGGGACCAGGAGCCAGACTGCGAGCGGGAGCTTTATCCTTCGCATGACCTTGGTGAGAAGAGCAGTGATGGTAGCAACAGGAGTAGTTGTGGAAACCTCGAAATACAATGTAGGCTAGTACTGCCATGAACACTCGTCATACTCGTGAGTGTCGGACTAGTGATGCCATCAAGCAGTCAGTGCCAGTGATGCTAGTGGTGGTCGCCGCAGCCAACCACAATAACAAACCGTTTTAGGACTTTTGTTGTAGCGATGTTTCTCATGCATGGCTCGTATGGGTCTCAGCCTCTTCCATGATTGGAAGATGTGCTGTAGCAATCTCTATCTAGCCCCTATGACACTATGAGCCACGGCGTCTGATGGGAGGATGCAGGTCTCCAGGCCATGTGCTAAAGGCTATGTCATCCTCAGGAGAATTGAGCCCTAAACCCTAAACCCTAAACCCTAAAGCTCAAAGCCCCCATGCCCCAGACCTTGAACTCTTTTGATCCGAAGCTTAGCCTTGGCTTCTACGCTCCACTCGAGTTGAGGATCATTCATGGGTAGTTCTCTAAATTCGGGTCCCTTTTTAGGTCCCCAATATAGTACGGCACCCTTATAAAAAGGACCCCCAAAAGGGACCCTAATTTAGAGAACTACCCTCATATGTGCATTTAACGGCATTGCATATAGTGCTTCCCCTTTCGCCGAGGCGGTGCTGCTCGCCGGCTGGGAGTCCAGCACCCCGCCACTCCCCGAAGCGCAGGGTAGCCCGGGTTTGGTGGCTACAGCAGTATGGGTTCTTCAGGGCGTTGGCTCTGCAGCTGCTGGGGTTTGTCTTTGAGTTGACCTGTGAGGTTGTTGATGTTTAGCCATCTGGGCGCGAGTCGACGAATAAGGATGTCTCAGCCTACACACGCTTCCTGTGCATGGAAGGAGGTACAGGGATGTTCTCCCCCCTCGATTGCCCGAAATGCAACACTCCAATTTGCCTTCGGGCCCGCCTCACTGGGCTCTGAGGATGGAGCTCCACCTCAAGCGGATCAAGAATGCAAAGAACGTGGGGGCCTTTTTCCGTGTGTAGCTTCTGAGGGCCTTGCGCCTACGTGCAATGCGCACAAGTAATGACAAGACTGCAATAATTCGGGCATCCACGGCTCCACAAAAAGCCCTGACCCAGTTTCTTGGAGGTTGTCACAGCTCTGCTTGCCGTGGAAGACAGCGGCATTGCCTACTGCGAGAGCTTGCTGGTCCCACCCTTGTCGAGTGAAGGGCCAGAGGTTGGGTCGGTTCAGGGTCGTTGTGTGGAGTTGCACCTCATTTTAGGACGTAGCGTCTCGGATTTGAGCTTTATGGTTGCTCATCCGGAATGGTAAAGCCACCGTCAGTCATCAAATAGTTGCCGCAAAATCGGCGGAATGAAGAGACATCAATCAAATTCAGGATGAAATAGTTGGTTATCTGTTGCTCGCTGTCGCTCTCGCTGTCGCTCTCTCCGTCGCTTTCGCTTTCGCTGTTGTTGGTACTCATGCTTTCGTTTCAAGGTGTGGTCGCATCGCCATGCCGCCACGCAAGCAAAAACTGCAGAGCTGCAGACAGTGGATGAGCTTCTTTGGGGCCCTTAGGGCCGGAATCACCGAAGCCTATTCTCCGAAACTCCTGACAGACCCTCCGCCGCTCCGCCGGGCAGGCTAGGCTAATCCCAGAGATTACATACATGTCATCGATTTTCTTGTGCCTTGGAGATAGAAGAACACAGAAAGCTACACTCTACAGGAACTGTAGATGTACTCTTCACTGTCTCTCCTATATGCACACATACACGCATGCATGCATAGACATATGCGTAGTATTTGCGCACTGAATCTGTTATACGTCTGCTTGTGAGGTGCTGGCTTTCTTCCTCCTCTTGCCGCAAGGCTACAAGGAGGCTCGAGTCTTGAAAAGAGCTTTGGAACGGTGGCTTCAAGAATGTGCTGAGTTCGAAGGGGCTGAGTCGTCGGTACCTGTCCTCTGAAACAGGGACAGGGCGGCAGCAAGGTTGAACGGCAGCTCAGGTCGATGTAGAGTCCTGCTAGATCGCCTAAAATGGGTGCGTCATCCTTCCTGCCACTTAGAGCGCGAAAGGTTTCCAACCAGAATCTGAACCGTCAGCTCTTTTTCAAAGCCAGGGCTTGCTGCGGAGCCCCCAAGCTCGAGGTGGCGTCGTCGAGCTACACAGGGGAGGGGCTCACCCACCCCACCGAGAGCTCCGTCTTCTGGCCGGGGACTCGGGGAGGATGTGAGCGAAATAGTGTCTGCATGCTTCTTGAGATTTGGGAGTTTCCGAAAATTAGGGTACCTTATTTTGGGGTCCCTATAATAAGGATCCTGCTATTTAGGGTGCTATATTAGGATCCCCTATTGTCGGAAACCCCATTGCTGCTGAAGGGGGGAGTATTGAAATTCACCTGATATGACCAACTGGTCCCCCAAAAGCGTCGGATTCAAGATGCATATTGAATACATACTGACAGTGATGACGATGCCGATTAGAAAATATGTTGGTGTTAATCAACGCTGTTGTTCTTGATCAATTTGGCGATTATTGCCCGTTCGTGCTGTTTGCTTGTAATAGCCCCGATGCTGAAAAGAGAGCCTAGGCTCCTGTACACCCTCATCTGCACACGGACGAATGGGGTCTACCGCGAGTACTATGGGCCGAAGCCTCGGAATGCCGGAGTGCTAGCAGCGGTAGTCGTGCAGGTCGGGGCAGGTGGTTACGGCTGGGTTGTGATGTTTGCAGTTGTCGTGGGGTTGGAATTGCCATTGGTAGCGGCTGTAGAAGCATCAGGCGGCCTCCAAACCGACAGCTCCAGTTTGACCCGCTTTTTGTTTTGTGTGACAGCAGGTGCAAGGCTGACTGGGCAGAAGCCTAGAGAGTTGCTTCGCAGGTTTCGGAGTTCGGGGCTCAAGTTCGTGCGAGTTTGCAGGCTAAACCCTAAACCCTAAACCCTACACCCTAACTCCTCTGCACCCCTGGACTCGAAGGGTAGCCTGAACCCAGGATGCCACTTCAGCCGGAGCAAGACCCCAGCCAGACGGAGCTGGTGGGTGGCAGTGGGGCCATACAGGACCAGAGCATGCAGCACGCACCTATGCCTCGCACACATGCAGCTGATGCCGTATGTGTTCGTGTATGCTCGTGCTGGCATCCGGCATAGATGCACTAAGGTCGTACAGCAGCCGGCCAGGAAATTGAACAAAGAGGCGGTGTTTTGATTTCAATCAACACCCAGAAATCCGAAACTTGACGAGTTGGAGAGCAAACCCATACTGCTCGATAGAGTCCAGCTGCTTGGCTTCCCTCTTTTGTGTATTTCTTGCTCCACAAGTGCCACATGGGGCGCTGACGAACTTACCCTAATCCCTGTTCGACATTCCTACACAACAACCTTCATTCCTTTGGCACGCCTGTGTTCGACCTGCAACTTTAACACCCTCCCCCGGATTTGTATGCTAAGTCCCCTTGTTTTTTGAATCCCACTGAGCACCAGCTGCGTGGATCCTTGTACCATAAATGCTCAGAGACGCTGCTTTCCGACATTTCCCGACCCTCGTTCCGGACGGATCTTGAAACCGCGATGAAGTTGTCGAGGATGTGCACCTCTTGGAATGTGCTGTGGCCTACCACGACAAGGAGCTCTACCAGTGTGACTGCCTCAACCGGTTTGGCACTGCTACTTGCAGGGACCCCTTGCTTCTTGCTCGCCTGCCTTTGCCGTACATCTCACCCTGAAGGATAGTATTTGCACGACAGCATTCCTCATCCTGTGCGGTACCGTAGAGAGCATTGATCCGATCCTTCGAACATCAAGCCCAAGACTGGTTGATGTGGCAGCAGCGAAGGTCGGTTTTCGAGGCTTAGATTTTGGGGTTTAGTGCTTCAGGGTACCCTGAACCATGAAGTGGTTCGGAGTTCAAGTGTTCCTGACCGGCTTGAAGTCCACAAGTTCTCGGCCCGGTACACTCCGGAGTCTCGAGCATTCAACTTATCCTTCAAGGACTGGCTCAGATACATCCTTGCATTCCCCCAACCTGTGGTGACAGGGTGCGCGTTACACCTGTTTTGGTGTGCGCCTGCTTCCAGGCGACAGATTGATAACAGCAACTTATTCCTATTCTTACTAGTAGCAGACGCAGTAGCGTTCAATGCAAGCATCCTATTTACCGCCTTGACCCGAAGCCTTCGAGGCATGTCGGCGATGGGTTTCGATCTCTCCACCGTCTTCTACGGAGCATTCATGAGGCCTCAGCAGATCCTTTACAGATGTCGAGGGCTTACGTTCTAAGGACCGGTAGGACTTTGTATTCAGGGCAGGCTCGACCCTTTATTTGCTTCCTGTGAGGCCTGAGATTGGCGCGGTGCCACTATAACTTCAACTCGTTCCCAGTTTACGATTCCCAAGCTTTGGGATGTAAGGCATTTCTTGTTTGGCTTTGGTGAAAGGATGCCGGTCGGATTTGAGTTGAGCACATGTAAAGCGCCGGCTGATGCGAGTATGCCCTTCAGCTCAGGCTGTACTGAGCTTGTGCGCAGTGTCCTTGTATCACGAAAACATTCTACAACTATCCTTTCGAGAAGTGTGCTGGTCAATTTCCCATGCACTCATGAAAGTATCGGAAAGCTTTAGGTCTTCATCGAAGAGACATTTCAGCTGCCCGGCGACCTGTATGTGTAAGCAAGAAAGGTCAGTAAATAGGCGTATTCAAGATTAAGAATTTAATAGTGTATCGAAACAAAGCATGCAGTATGACCTTACGCAGTACATGCATGCAGGCATGCATGCATGCAAACATTGATGCATACATGGACTGGCAGACAAGAGGATACATAGACATGCCGACACCAGGTACGTCCCAGCCGCAACCCGTGCCGATTCACCTCTCTTTGCCAGGTGGTTTGCAACGTATATGCCGACGGCCAGCGTATTCAGGCGCCTCTCAGCAACAATAGGTTCGAGGATGCAACGCGAACAAAGGTGGGCATAGCAGTACATTGATGCAGGGCAGCTTTTTTTGATTCGTTTCAACCTCGCACAGTAGCAGCAAGCTTGGACCGGCAACAAATCAGAGGGACTAGTATCAGCAACAGCAATAAAACAAACAATCGCGGCGCAAGCAGCATCAGCACAAGAAATGATCAGAAGCAGCACCAAAAGTAGACGATGACTGCAGCATGAACAAATCCCAACGACCGGAGGGAGTCTGTGTAAAGAAAGTCTCCAGCGCAAAAGAAATCAGGTTTCGGGAAACTTGGGCTTCTGTTGGCTTGGGGGTCCCCTGCTTTCAATCTTGTTTCACGCTTCCGCCTCCAGATCGTCAGACCCGAAACGGCTACGAACCAAACACCAAGAGTCCCAAGCTGTGCTTGACGGCAGGCTCTGGGATGCTTTGCTGCTGCAGTCGTCGAATCCAAAAGCGCAGCCTCATGCAGACGCCCCGGCAGATGAGGGCAGATTGCTTCCGTTTCTGATGGCATAGGCTGTCGCGATTGCCACTACCATCATCGCCACCAGGTGTCAGCATCATCATGGTCATGACCGCGATCACTGTCAGCATCACTCTCATTCCGGTAACATCATGATTTCATTGTCGTTTCATTGTCGTCGTTATATAGTTATTTAGTTATTTGCTATTGCCCCTCGTCCTCCGCCTCATGATCTTCATCGTCGCGAAAGACGATAGCTGAAGAGTATCAGAAAAGGCTGAAAGCACCAACTCCCCAACTCCAAGAAACTACAGGCCCAGACCCTCTGGCTGGGAGTTACAGGAGAAGCCCCATATCAGAAGCCCGAGTCTGCGATCCGAAAGCCTTCAGCACGGAAGGTTCCTGCACAGCCTAAGCGGTGCAAGGTTCTGAGGTGCAGCCCTTTTGGCTTCGATGTCCGGGTCCTTTCGGTTCAGAGCCTCAAGCGCCAAAGGCGGCCCTGTCTCGACTGTCCTTCTCCTTGCTCTTCTGAAAGGGCCTCGTCTCCAGTCTGGAATCCGATGTCCGCAAACGAACCCTTGGCTTCCAATCCTTCGGACATACATTATTTTAATTATAGTATAACATACCCCAATTTACCCTATTAAGGCCCCTATATTATGGTACTCCAGAGCCCATTCACCTTCAGCTCCCCCAGGCACGTGCAAACCTGATCGATCTGGGCTTCGCCTCCCTGCGTGCAGGGGGCTCGGCTGTGCGCATAGGTTGTGCTGGGATAGAAGTGTCCGATCGAGTCTGGTCATCAGTGTGTAAGTTTGGGAGAATTCTCAATGAAGGACTTCGTCTTACTGGCCAAGTTAGTCGCTTCGCTTTACACGGCCGTGGCCAGAGGAACTTGATAGGCATGTTGGCATGGCTCCGGATGCAGATTGTGCTGATTCGATTATCGCTTTTCCCGGCTACTTCGCTCATGACTGCCACCCGGCCGACCAACAACAGCAGCCACGACTCCGACAACGAAAATCATGACAGCTTTCGCGCATCATTTGCGCTTGTGCTGGAGAGAATTCCAAGTTCGCTCCCCCCTTTGCGTGTAGGACAGTCCGAAGGCTCAAAATGGAGTTTCACTTCTGTCATGGGATGTTGTACGCAGTGATGCTGGGTTTAGTGAAATGCAAGACCGGGCCGCACCAGACCCTTCAAAGAAACGCGATCATGTTCCTATCCCTGCATGAGGCCAAGCGGACGGAGCTGATGTCCTGCCAGTCTGCTCTGGAGATGTTGGGAGACCCGGGCACAGGATTTTGAGACAGTGGTTTTCAGGTCGAAACTTCACTCATCTTGGGTCTTGGTGCGGACATGAGATGTGCGAAAGAAGCAGTTGGTGTCTGCATGACAGGAAAAACGTTTGTGAACACAGGCGATATGCACATGATTCTCATGACCGTGTTGATGATGTCGGATTACTTGGATGACGGCAGATTTTTGGCCTTCTCTGTTCGAGATCGTGGTCGTAGCGGCCGTTGGGTTCTTCACGGTGGTCACGCAGTCGCGCAGTCATAGCCGTCGTTAGCATCGGTTTTTTCGTGAGCCGAAGCTCGATCTAAAATTTGGTGGACTCGAAAGTCGTCCGGGGTGCATGACATCGTTTCATCTGCGCGGCAAGCTAGGCATCCAGAAGGCATCCCAAAGAGGAGCTTATCTGCGGACAACTTTGGAAATCAGTCCGGCAAGAATTCTTAAGATGATGGTCCCTCCACAGGTGAGAATGGAACCTAGCGTAGATCAAGGTCTGAATCGCCGTGTTCTGTGACATCTGACGCTCGCCACGAATTCCCAATTTAGGCTGCATCTTCCGTTTCAGGCAGCGCACCGACTTGCCAAATGGTTCGTCTCGCCGGGTTTGGATTAACGAAGCTTCGGGTGTGCCTCTGCATTGACGCAGTTCGACGCTTGGCATAAGGCCTTCGTGCAATCAGCTTCACTTTCGCTTCGTAATGCCGTTGTGATGCATATGATGCACGTGCTCTTGACTCTTTCGTTGTGTCGGCCGCTCGTGTTCTTTTCAAGCCCTTGACATGGGTGAGCGTAGCTGCAACGAGCAGTCACTTACCAGTCTACCGGTGTTGCATTCACTTATATGGCTGTTTAGCTGGACAAGCCGCACTGCTTTGGTGACACGTGTGGTGCGAGGTTGCGGGTGCAACTGATGAACCAGCCTCCTAGGCAAGTCCCAAGATGTTAAAATGCCGACCAGGCCCCCCTCCATCTGCCCGAAACCTTCGAGAGCCCCAGAACATAACGACAGGACGCCTGCCCTGACCGCTCAAATCCGCAAGCCGCCTTCCCCTACCTGGCCTCACTTGCTTCAATCGCCCAAACCCCATGAACACACGCCTTCGCCCCGAAGCCCCCCTCTACAGTTCAAAGGCGCAGTGTCGTTCTGGGTTTCCTGGCCTCGCTGTCGGAGCCTCAAATCATTCCCTCACGACTTGGGAGGTCTTGACGGCGCGAAAGGCCCGCTCAAGAAGGGTCTTAATGTCAAATGCATATTGCATGGAGACGTCCCCTCTTTGAAATCCTTCTTCAGGTTTCGAAAGTATATCAAGCTTGTTTGTGAACAAAAGCGTTTCTAGAGTCTGGAATCGAGAGTTTTGAACGTCATTTAGGAGGCTTTCCCCCAAGATCGAGAGAGTTCGATGGTGGTCTCATTCCAGAAATCTGAAGGTTGCGCCTGCAGTTCTACGATTTGCGAGACTAAAGCTCATTGTTTGCGTGCATGGTTCCTCTGATACAGTGCTTCCTCGAATGCAGATTTTCATTCCAAGCTTTCGCTAGGTTGTCTTTATGACATTGCATGTAAATCCAGCAGTTTAGCCCTGGCACCTAGAACTCACTTGTTGGGGCCTGACGGATCGTTTTCAAAATAGATTTGATGCACTGCTGCAACAGTCCCATTGCTTCGGGATGCCTGGAAAGGTTTTGGATCCCTTGACCTGTGTGTGTAGCAACGTCGGCTGCATGTGCAACTTGTGCCAAGTTGAACTTGAGTTGATGCAGCACCTTCTTATGCCGACCGATCATCAAGAAACGTTTCTTGTTGGCTTGGTGGGAGATCTCCGAGCATCCTGATCATCTGATCCTGGAGAAGCAGGTATGACACAGGCACCGTCATTGACTTGATCCACTCAGCGCACTGCTTCTTGTGGCCGACGGCTAAGCACTGTGTAACTTCGGGATTTCTATTGCCGTGTTTGGTTGGACCCTGGGTCAGGAGTCGCATTGTTTTTGGGGCAAAAGGACTGATTGACAGTAAGTCGCAGCTGAGTTGCAGAGAACAGCGAAGAAATGGGGGAAGCACAGAGCGGGCAAAGGTAAAGGTTTCTACTCGGCGTCTTCACCTTACTCATAATCTCGAGTTGTCACGCAAATACTAGTTACTATTACTACCGTGTGCATTGCCATGATGTTACTGTTCTTCTTATCACTTGTTATGGGTGCGTACCTGTTCCTGTAACGAGACGCTTTCGCAGTGATGGAAGGACAGTCTACAGAAACTGCAGCAGCAACAGCTGCCTCAATGGCTGCTACAAGTTGCTAGATCTTCAGTGAAAATCGGCCGATGCCGGCGCTGCATGCAGATTTGGTTTCATCATCGTGCTCATGTTGATTTTGCATGTTGTGGTGTGCAGAGCTGGACTTCGTTGTTGTGAAAAGGGCATGTCGCGGCACAGCTGCGTGCGTAAAGTCGTGGCTCTGCATCCATACTCGCTCGAAACTACGCATGTGCAGCATGTACCCCAATGTCCAAAAGAGGGTAACACGACCACAGGGGTGCCGTCCACAGCTGTGGGACGCTGCTTGGAGTCATGCTCCTGCCGAATGCACATCGACTCTACAGGAAGTTTGATCTGCAAGTCGAAACATAGCAAAGCCAGCCCTTTTCCGAGGGGCGGTGGTGGCTTCAGCAGTGGCAAGGTCGCAGTTCTTTGGACCAAGCGAGAGGAGCTCTTTACAGGCGAGGCTCAGCATGAGAACCAACGCTGAGCTGAGCAGAGATTCTCAATGCCAGTGGCTTCTCGTGTTGCTGCCTAGCAGGACCAACTTTCATTGTAGATGCAGGAGGTTCAGCAAAAGAGCCCCTATTACTCGTTGCAACGACCTCGCTGTGCTAGACTGTGAGAGCCCCGTCGCCGGCGGGAGGCGCCAATACCATCACGAAGAACCAGAACCGGGTGCTGAAGCGAATCGCGCACGAGGGCGTTGTGGGAAGGCGCGATCTGAAACCGGCTCAGGTGTTGAACCGAGTTTTGCTCCCTTGCTCCCGTATTGCGTGCAAGATCACCGATCATGCAGCATCAAGCAAGAACATAGCTAAAAGCAAATTTTGTGACCGTTCCATGTTATGTTACTGGCACATGCTGTCCATTGCTTCAGACACCGAGCCCATTTCCTGGCACCACCTCGGTCACCACGGTACACGGGCCGTCGGAAACCATGGCATCACAAGCAGCTCTTAAGCACCTTGTTGAGGATGGCCCCTGTATGATGACGTCCGGGTTCATGGCCCTCTAGCGATCGTAGGCGACGCGACCATGCAACCTTTTTGGTGCTGTTGCCAACTCCACACCGAGAATACCCTAAACCCTGAGCTGTAAGCCCAACTCCTGCAACGAAGCGCCAGGCAGGTTGCACAGGCGAGGGGCTGAGCTGTCTGCTTTTTGCTGGAAGCCTTCGCGAATACCTGATGCTACATGCGTTTTGTGATTTTCGGTCCGTGTGACGGTGAGGCATCGTTCCTTATGTTCTGCACATGCTCTCAGAGGTATGAATCGTCGTACATCGCTTTATGTTGCTCACCTTAACTCGATGTATATCCACATACGTATACATGCGTGTATGTTGTATTAGATTGCATTGCGTTCTGTTCTGTTTTATGTATCCTATTGTGTTCTGTTCTATGATGTTGTTTTGCACCATATTATAAAGTATGTTGTCTTTTATGGTATATAGTACAGTATATATCACAATATATATATATATATACATATACACATTATATATTACAAAGTTTATAAATACTATAATTAAAATACAATATGTATTAATGATGTCATTTATCATTCTATATGCTACTCCCCTACCGCTTTGGTGCATTTATACCACCGGTGTGCGTCTGCAGAGCTTCATGTGCAGAGGCGCTGGCCACAGCCACTGAACATGCTTTCCTGTACGGCTCGCCTCACCCATGGCTCATGCACTTACTATCCGTTCCTTATAGTTTCACTGTCAAGCAGCATTTGCGATACATGTGTTGTTGGTTTTGTTAGAGCAAATACCAGCCATGTTGAATGTTTACTGCCTCATGCCTACATTTTGCCCAAGCCACATAATAGGCGGTATTCATGAACAAACAGTTTGGTTAACGATTATTAGATTAGAGTAGCTTATCGGTGCGGCAGCACAAACAGACAGATCATCATTCACGGCATTGCAACTAAGTGCTAATGTGTTGCTCAATGGTGATTAGCGCTTATTCCGTTGATGGGGAGATCGCTAAAACACATAAACGTGCACCAAGTATTCACGAGCGACTGAATCTTGAAATGCACTTTGCATAGCTCAACCAGTGCGGAAATAAACGAGTATTGCTTACCAACTGGTGAATATTTCGCCACAGGAAGCAGCCATCGGTATAGATATCTAGGAGAAGCGCTGTAGTTTTCAACAAAGTAAACCCTAAACAAAAGGTAAACCTCAGCTGTTTTGCTTTAGCATCTGCTTGGCATGTTCGACGAGTGTTGAATGAATACTTATTGTTCAGTTTTTCGAGTACCAAACTCACGTAAACGTCAAGAACTCGGCACTGAACATCGAGTAGGTGTCCAGCGAGCATTAAGATGAGTTTTTAACTACGGCAGCACCTATAATAGTGAGGCACTGCCTCATGACTATGTACATATTAAACGTTAATGGAAAATTTTCCAGTATGAGACGTCAATGAACGACACAATCTGCAAAAACGAAGCAATAATTACTCTAATGCCAAACGAGCATCACACAGATAGAGGCTTAATGCTCAGCAGGTATGGTTGAGGTAGTAACTAAAGAGTATCTACACAGTGGCTCGGTGCGAATGATATGCCACATTCAAACTACGTAGTATTTAATTAGGCACTGCTTAAATATTTGTTATGTATGCCTGATTATTTACTATGTGGCATCACCAGTAAGTTGTTGTGGCAATCACTTTTGCAAGTAAACAGTTGATCAATGACAAAATGTTAATATCAGAAAGAATTCAGCTTTATAATAAGGAAGCAGTGCTTAAAGTTTAAGCGAGCGTACAATGTTGCTTTACGTGAACCGAAAAGGTTAAGCGAGCCTTTAGCAGACACCAATCAGAAGCTTCCCCTTCTTGTCAAAGCAGTAGTTTGGCATAGTCGCATAATTCCATACTGAACATCAGATAGGAATCAAAGAGTTTTTATATGTATTGGGCACTGCACCGCCGTCTGGGACATCTCCCAAAACCAACTTCAAGATAGAATCCGCCACGTCGTGAGGCAGACTCTTCCAAATTACTACGTCGACAGAAGTCATGGCACAAGTGAACTCAAAAGAACAAGCACAGTCCCATTGACCTCCGACGAAGCGAAACAAGGTCGTAAGCAATCAAGGCTCGCAAAGCTTACTTGCCGTGATAGAAGTCCGACAAACAGGAAGCGGCATGCACGATTCTAGTGGTGCTTACCGTGTTTCCAGCTCAATGTATGTGCATTTGATGCGTTCTCGTATGTTTTTTATGCTACGCGTGTGGCGGTTGTCTTGAGTTCAATCCTTTCCGCTGAGACAGCAAGTTTGGCTTGTCTTGGGTTTTTGCCAATGTTTCAGGCTCCGCGTGTGCCACTTTTATTGGTTTTTCCAATGGCTCTGTGTGTGCCACAGGCTCTACCGTCTTTATTGGGTTTTCCAATGTTTCCGCTGAGTCAGAAGCAGGAGACATTGGAACAACAAACAAAGCCTATAAAAACCAGATCTTCAAAAACTGTTTTTTTCTTTCTCTCTCTCTCTCTCTCCCCGTCTGCAGCCCTGAATTCACCAGAGTGTTGTTTGCGTGCGAGATTTCGTGCGAGTACCTTTCCTCCACTACAGATAGGCCCCGATCATCCCCAATACGCAAATCTATCCTCGTGGTAGGAAGGACTGTGGCATCTTTTCCGGTACGCAAGTTTCGATTATGTCATGGCTCACATGTCAGAAGCCCTAGATTCCGAGAAGGCACCGCGTGAACAGAAACGGATGTCGATGGCAGCATTTCCAAACCATCGGGTAATGCCCAAGCCGATGTTGGCAGCGACGTCGTAGAATTTCAATCATGATGCTGCATGAGAGCTTATTTGGCGGGTGCGTGGCAGTGTGTGCTCTTGATTTGTTTGCAATCAGCTTCTTTCTGATGCCCCTTCGGCAAGGAACACGGCGTTTCCACGAGGCAGCTCGTAAAGGAGGCCGCAAAGCATGAACTGTAAGGCATCAGTGCTGTTGCTGTCGTCGTGTTATTCGTGCTCGGGTCTTGACCGTCGAAGGGGTCGTGTTCCTGCCGTCGTCGCCGTCGTATCATCATCGCCATCCAGTGAATGTTTGAGGTCACAGCTATGATCAATGTAGGCGTCATCAGGTTTAAAGCTTAAGGCAGTTTAGCGTTCAGGGTTTCAGAGATCAAGTGCGCACTTTTCAGTGGCTATGGCGTCGAGGGTCTGAACTTAGGGTCCTTCTGAAGGGTTCCAAGTTGGGGCGTAGTGGTGATCGTGCGTCGTCGGGGTGACGTGGCATGTTTCTTTGGATCTGGATGCTGGGTCTTCTTGAAAGTTTTTTGGCTGGGCCAAGTCGGAGTCCTGGCAGCTCCTGCAAGATCTGTGGCTCAAAACTGTTGTAAATCCACGACCCTTCAGCTTCAACTACCCCTTTGCCCACATCGAGCCCGCTTCGACACCCTAGCAGTCCCTGACGTAACACACCCCGAAGCCTTCGGCCGTGGAAGCGCACTCGCACTGGCAGGTGATTCCGGCTGTGCGGGTTAGCCTCGAGTCGGCACGGAAGCGCGGCGAACCGAAGCACTGGGCCCGCGCTTCAGCGCCGTCTGCAGAGGGTCTCCTACAGAAGCATGTTGTGGCAAATCCATGGTTTCGAGGTCCTTCCGGGCTGAGTGGTTCCAGAAAGCTTGTTGTTGCCAGATCCCTGATCTTCCAGTTGTGCCTTCAGGCCATGCATCGTCCTCTGCCCCTCGCCGATCGAACCGCGATGCAAGAGAAGGCTGCAAGTTGGACTTCTCACAGCACAAATTCCAGGGTCAAGAGAGTTCAAGGTTTGAATTGCCGTGCCTCGCGGTTTCCAAGACTTTGGCGGCAAGTACAAACTTCGGATGTGTTGAGACATAAACGGTGTGGCGATGGCACTGGAGATGTCCGTGCATGCTTCTCCCAACTCCGTTGTCAACGGAGTGTTGGTCCAGTCGTTTCAGGCTTCTCCAACCAATGCGATGCGCTGGCTTTATGGGTAATCAGCTTCTGACACTGCCCCAGCTTGAGCCGTGGAGTGTTCACTTCTATGGCCTGCAAGAGCCTTGCAACCACCAGCAGTGGCCAAGCGGTGTGCCCCACCGTAAAGGTGCTCACTGCTCCCCGAACTACTGGCCAAAGACCACCACCAATCACTCCAACCGTTTTCTAACAGCTTTTCACGTTGCCCTCCAGACCATTGTCGGCCTTCAAACTGTGTCACATCCTCATCTTCAGATTTGCTTGAGAAGTTCCAGCGATTTCACGACGTCTCCTGTAGGATTCCTGAAAGACTGCAAATGAGAAAGTAGCACGGAATCCGAAGTTGAACGGTCTGGTTCAGCGCGCCCCTTTCACGGGTTTCAATCCTGGAAACAAGACAGCACGCTCTCGAAACCGCAAAGCACCCGAAACCTGAAGAACCTAGATTATTTTCTTCAGTGCCAGTCTCGGGTTCTAGTTCCTGAATCTGCAGGGTGGCGGTGTCTTTGGGGCCCACCCGCCAGTGCGGTCGGGCCCTCGACAGAGTGAAGCTCGGAACAGTGTACTCCCATCCCCAAGCCGCAGTCCAAACCCTTCGTCGTCGTGGTCGTGGCCTCTTCTCATTCGGGCTCGAAAACGGAGCTCCATGGGGTAGATGCGAAGCGACTACGAGGGTGTTTTTCTGGGAGGCAGTGCCGGGCAACAACGCAGTCAGTTGTCCTCAGGTTTGAAACTTACATGCAGGATCCCGATTTTAAGCTTTTCAACAGGAGTCATGCATTACCAGTCTGCCTGCCGGACTTTGCGCCACTCCGAGGCGATACCCATTCCGGGTTGGCCCGAGTTCGTCATCAGGTGTGGCTCATCCGCAAGCGTGGCCGTGGCATGATCTTCGGACCACCTGGGAACCTTGTCTGGGCTGTTTGTCACGTTGGGTCAGGAAAGGTGATCCGGATCAGCTACAGCAGGCAACGAGAGTTTTGAATGTCACCGGAATCCAAGATTGGGCAAATCCTTAGACCTGCCCCCTCACACACGCGGTGTTTCAGGCCTTTCATTGCCCGACCATGCCCCTACTCCTACACTCCTCTGTTGATTGATTTAGCATTTGCGATCTCTCTGAGGCTCGGACGATACCTGGGATGGAGCCGCTGGATGTATCGCAGTCGGACTGCCTGACTGCCCCATTGTGTACAGTCGTAGCTTGTTGGATCGTATTTCAGGAACTTCGGGAATCGGTTCTTCCAGATTTAGTTTGCTTCGTTTAGGCATCCGAAGCTCCATGTCAGTGCCAAAGTGTCGAGGAGCTGCTGCATGCCATGCAGCGGGAGGCACCCAGCATGGGGCCCAGCCCGTCTGCGACGAGTTGCAGGAATGCGTCGAGGCGTAGAGAACCCTGCTGCCTCAACTAAGGCGGTGGCACGTTTTCGGGGCTTCTGGTTCTCGAAGTTACAGCGATGCCTAGGGAAGCCTACGCCTGGCTCAGCAATGCGAAACCCAAACCTTTCCAGCACTGCCCAAAGCGATTGATTTCTAGCTCGAGAGGTTTGCATCGCGGATGCCTCTGGGTGCAAAATGAAACCGCTCGTTGGGTTGAACAACAAAATCGTCAAGCTCAGGCAAGTTCCAGGGAGTCTTGCCAGGGTTTGCATCTGTTGGCCTGTCCATGCCTGTCCTTCTCGGCCAGGCACTCGAGGCCCGTCCGCGGCGAGAAAACGCTAAGGAAACTCATTGTTTGTTCAGCGCTAGCGTTGAAACCTTTTCGGCCAGCCTGAACCTCCCACCGCACCACGACTTGCTGCCTCACTGACAGCAACAACAAGTGTTTGTGGAGGGACCTCATAGTAATTGCAATGAAGCCTTGTTGGCCATGGGAGTCACAGCCGCAATAACAATCATTAGGGTGTGAGGAGACAGCAGCGTGTATTCATCATAGGTTCGCAGCCCTGAATCATAACGCCTCTGCAACTAGGCTGGGCCGGTGATGCCGTGACGTTGTGGCAAACCTTCTCGGACCAACCGCACCGCCTACTTGGCACAGCGGTGCCACATGCCAGTTTGTCTTGCTTCTTGATATCTTGCACCCATGTACCATGTCGAAGCCAGAGACACAACACTGCTTTGGAAAATGCATGCACGGAGCAAAGACTAGATAGCACAGAATCATAGCACTTCCAAGATTCACCTGTACGTGTCGCGAAGCTTCGCAATGTTTGTTGTTCCTCTGAACTCTCGGACTGTTTTCATCCTGGCATTGCTGAAGAGCACGTTGCGAGAAAGAAGTCTGTGTGACAAGCTTGCAAATGAAAGTGGATTATGATATATTATGATGCCGAGGCAGAAAGAGACAGGTGGCAGCCACTGGAAAGAACAGCATCGTTTCTTCTTGGACTAGTGACTAGAGTTAGCAAAAACATGCGATTAGTAAAGTTGTGATGATGGCGCACGTACCGAAAGACATGATGACGTGAACACACAGCTAACAGGAGATCAAGAATACCGATGGCGAACGAGGAGCATGGGGACGACGATGTGCTTTCAAAGAAAATGCAAGGTTGTGATCTTGTTTTGCTTGTCGTCTTTGATGCTGATGGACGGTATCCCCCAACAGCGGTTTGAATCATCCTTGACCGCTGCAGTGTGCCAAGTGGCAGGTGCTCAACGGTCCGCCTCCGCCAGGCATTGTTCCAACATTTGTATTCAGTTCCATTTGCCCTCCCTGCTCGTACGAGGTCGCCTACTTGGCTTCAGATGCAAATTGGATCTTGTCGTCGCAGTTTTGACTTCGAGGGTCGTACTGATCAGAATGGAAAAGCTAGTATTTTGACATCAAGTTGCTGTAGACAGAGGGGTTCGGGATCTGGCTTTCTGCAAGAGGTCTTTCTCCCATCTGAGTTATGATATCGGGCCAGCAGGGCTGACCATACTCTAGCAATCCCTTGGTGTGTTGGAGAACTGTGAGCCTCTGTCCGAAACACCACAGGCACCCATGCGCCCGTTCTGAGCGAGCACTGGTTCAAGAGTATGGTGCGGCCCCTGAAATGCATGTGGCCTTTGTAAGAAATTGCATCGGGCCCTGTAGCTGAAGCAGACCAGCCCAAGCGCTTCGGACCTTGATCTTGCCCACCCTTCCGGGACAGTGTCCGCAGCATGATCCTGACAACCTTCAGTCCTAAGTCCTAAATCCATTCCGGAAGTGCAGACCAAGACCCTGCTTCCTGTTTCGGATTTTCCGGGTTTTGGGGATCTTTCATGTTGCGCTTGAGGACAGTCTTTGGGTTCCTATCTTCAGATGGCTGAACTTGGGCCTCGTATGATATGCCAGAGATTGGCTGCCATGACATCGTGTTTCCGCGAAGACCTAGCTTCATTACACGGCAAGAGTGTAAGCATGGGGTCGAAGGCATCAGAAGCCGAGGATTCTGTGGATGAAACGGTCAGAGCCTTCTAGAAAGAAACAGATGGAGCTGCCAAGCTCAAAAGCGTAAGCTAACGATTGGCAAGCTCCACAACCAATGCGCTCTGCCCAGTTGGCCAAAGCTTCTGACACTCTGGGAATGACGCCTGCGTCTGACCCCAATCTTCTGCCGGACAAGGACGGGGCTGAAACAGTCAAGAAAGCGGCAGGCTTCAGACGACAACCCCTGCCCCACAAAACGGCCCAAACTCTGAACATTATGGCCTAACCTAAACCCTAAACCCTAAACCCTAAACCCTGAACCCTGAACCCTGAACCCGAAACCCTGAACCCTGAACCCTAAACCCTATGTCTGTTGACCCCAGAATTTGCAGACGCCAGCCTGCAGCTTGGGGAGCGAGTGCAGCCAAAAGCCCGGAGCCGAACACCTTCCCCAAGAGTAGTTCTCTAAATTAGGGCCCGATTTTAGGTCCCCAATATAGTACGAGACCATTACAAAAAGGACCCCGAAGGGGACCCTAATTTGGAGAACTACCCCCCAAACGCAAGGCCGTGCGAGAGTGCTAGACAGGGTTGGTTCCATGTCGCAGGATCTGTGTGTGAGACATGGTGGACTGTCACTGTGTGATCATGTAACAGAAGAACTTGTTATCGAGTCCAGGTTTGTTGCTTCAGTTCTTATGGCGAGACTCCCAGCTCCGAGCTTTCTGGGAGGACACCCCGAAAACGAGCGATGCAGGCCCAGTCCTAAGTTCGGGCTGTTGAGATGGGACTTTTGGAACTGGCCTGGTAGACTCCGAAGATCGAATGAAGTTACTTTTAGAACCTTCTAAGGGGATTGTCGACGAACTTGACGTTGCCTTTACACAGCCCAGGCGACCAACCGCTGGATCATGTGAGTCTCAACGACATCTTTGCTGCTTTGATCTGCAGCTCCCGCGGGACCGTCTCGGAGAAGGCGCCGATGTAGAAGCTTTTGCAGAGGAGACCGCTGCATGAAGTCTTGGTGTCCCACTTCCGTAAGGACAAGCCTGTTTGGGAGCTCGAAACCCCCAGCCCTGTACTCGAGCCGTGGAAAAGGCAGCCGCACTCTTCGACCTTTACTCCTATACGGCTCCGCGAGGCCGCGCATTTCGCCACTTGGGGTTCAGCTTCGGTTAGACGGTTTCAGAGTGGCCTCAAGGGGGCCGAAGGCCGAAGCATTCGGAACTTGAGAGTGTCTGTGGACCTTTTCGACTAGGATGCAGAAACGCAACATCCTTCAATATCTCCAACCTTTAAAGTCTTTGTCGGATTCGGGTCCGTCTCTTGCAACATGCGGCTCTTGCTCTGGAGCAGCCTCCCGCGGTGCAGGTTTGATCTTAACTGCATTCGCGTATCATTTTCTTTGTTCTGGGCTGGTGGCTTGAGCTCAACTCGCAATGTTGTGACGGGACTTGTCATGATGCTGTTGCTAGCAGGTCCATTGCTTCTCTTGCCGACGGCAACAGTTGCTGTGCGCTATACACCAATCCGTTGCAAGGCAACGAGCACCACATCACCCCTCTCAACCGCGTGTCGAAGCGTGCTGCAGCCTCCGCCCTCGCCGCCCGGAGCCCACTTCATTGTGCACCCTGAGGTTGGATCAACACTGTTCTGACAAGCTGGGGAGTTGAGTGAGCTGTACTAGAATTCATCTGAGTTTTGGGAGTTGATCCCACCCAAACGAGAGAGGAAAGCGTTTACATCCGCGGGTTCGGGGGGGTACATGTACAGTGCAGCAGTTGAAGACCTATCTCGTTGCCGGAGCTCATTGCTCCCATCACGCGAGACTTCAAAATTTCTCCAAAGCTGGACCATATGGAAGCCCCACAATCCCCGGAATTTCCAAACAGCAGCGCCAAGGATGGTGGAGACCTGGGCCGAGTCCTGGCACCGCAGGGCGGCTCAGAAAGTGAGAGAAGCCTCAGGGTTTAGGGTTTAGGGTTCAGGGTTTCCTTGCAGGTTATGTTCCGGGGCCCATCCGGCAGAACGAACCCAAGAGGAAATCTGCATCAAGAGACGGCTGACATGCGCAATGCCCGAAACAGTTGATATCGGTATATCACTCCACGGAAGCCATAGGTGCTCTCTAATCCTGACCTTAAATCCTGCCATCGCAGCAAGAGGGCTGCAGATGGGTACGTTGCCGGAAGGTTCCAAGGGTTCGGTAACTTGGAATGCAAGGACCTGGGGTGAGGATCCGGAAGAGAAGGACGCGAAACAGAACAATGTGCTCAAGTTCACGGTGGGGAGCTCGGCATCTCGGAATTCCGGCAGAGACGAAGTGCAGAAGTGCAGAGATTACCATAAACGTCACACTTGGCCACAGCCTTCGGCCTTGCATAGAATAATTACGGTTACCCGATCGTGTTTCCCATGACTGCGGAAGGAAGTTGGCTAGAACCGTGCCAGGTCTACACCAGCTACCCAGCTGATGCCGTCCTTGGCCACGTGCTGATACCTTCCCTCTCCCCGTACGTCAGCAGCAGCCGGCCTGTTTCTGGGTCGTTAGGGTATGTTAGGGTCAGAATTGAGGGAGGACGACGACTGCGATTTCATGATTTGCGTGCCGCAATTTCCGTCAACAAGCCTGTGCTAGCGCGAGAATGCAACAATCTTGCAGCCCGAGCTTCCAATGCTCTACTTGCAATGTCCGCGCCAGCGAAGTGGAAGTTGGACATGTCGTGTCAAATCCGGAAACCAAGTTTCAACATCTAGACTCGAGCACTGGCTTTTCTTAAGAACTTGGAGCCGAGTTGGACCACCTGTGGAGCCATGCAGCATGCAGCGATACACAGAATATGCCCGGCTTTGCAATCTTACAAATCGTCTGGTTCATGCCCATCTAAGTCAGAATCAGAACTGTGCGAATTGGATCAAGACTCGGAGCAGAGCCGCATTGCAGGTAGCGGTGCTGCTGAGCCAGTGGCCAGGAGCTACAACATCTGGGGACGCAAACCCAGGCACTGAGCTGATAGCGGTCTGGGGTTGCACCGGGTTGGGGGTTTGCCGTGTGCCCTGAATTCTTTCATCGAGACTTAGCTCACCACAATCGCTAGGGTCTGCCGCTTTCCCTGTTGCAGGTTCACTTGCGTGGGTATTTAAACTGTGCTTCTTCCTGCAGCTTGAAGCCGAATTTGTAAGAGTCCGCCCGAGGTTTGAGGTTTTCTAACAAGCTCGGGGTTTATGTGGAGTATTAGGCTCACGGCTGCACAACCCTGTCCAGTCCCACCCTTTTTCCCCCTTGGCTCTTGGCGAGCTGCGACAGACTTTAATGACTTTTGCATGGTGTCTCATGTTCAACGAGTGAGGAATGGCCTGGACCCTTTATCCATCTCCAGGGCGGCGAACAACACCGCGGCCTCCAACCCCAACATGGCAAACAACAACGCCGGCGGTGGTGACCAGAACAGGCTGGCGAAGCTTCGGCGTTTGAGCTTGCAGAGATGGCATTTTTGACATGGGCATGTGTGTTTGAAGGTTACTGGGTGAACTGCACTTGCCAGGTCCCTAAGGAACAGCCGCACTGCACCAGTCTTTCGTCATGCTTAGCCTACAGTCCCACACCTGATACTTTGGTTTCCAACGACGAGCTGTTGCCAAACCTCAAGCTTAAAGGCGCTGATGGTGGAAACCCCATGTTGCGCTGCTCGCTTTGGAGGGTCTGGCCACGGCCATTGAACATGAGGGTTCAAAACTAATGATGGTCTATATGGTAGATGCTCATGAGTTTGAAGGCTCCCCACCGCTGCTCTTGATTACGTTAGCAGCTGCGTGCTTGAGCTCGCGCAACACTTGGGGCGTCCTCCGTCAAAGAGAAGATGATGACTCCAACATGCTAGAGCTGTCAACCCGTACTCTGTGATGTCGAGACTACCAGCTGGCCTTGCGTAGTCGTGGGTCTCCCTTGGACTTCTCCCGGACTCCACCAAGCTCGGTGAGGCTGGTGTGTTTGGGCGAGATCAACATGGCCCTGCAATGGCGCGAGGCGTGCGAGCCCCAAGACCGCCAGAGCCAGAGAGGGAGAATGGCCTCAAAGCAGCACTCCTGAAGCCCCCCAAAGCCGCAACCCCTACACCTTAAAGACCCTAAAACCCCAAGCCCTACACCCTAAACCCGACTTAGAGTCAAGAACAAGTGCCCTGGACACAACGCAAAGCCCAGAACGTCCCCAAAAAAGCTTGAGCCCAGGAGCCCCAAGACGCCTCATCAAGGGCAGCTGACGATCCTCGTCAAGCACGTGAAGCCGGGAGCTGCCATGTTTGATTGCATCCTTTTCTGCAGCTTTCAAAATTTAGGTTCCGGGTGCTTCTTCTTTTTGGGCCTCTGGGGCTTCGGCAGTGGCTCTTCATTGGGGTTTAAGTTTAGGGGTTTGGTAGGGTTCCGCGCGCGCGCGAGGGGCAATATCACGGACTGGCACCGGACCGGTTAATTTTCAGCATGCGTGTGCACTGACTCTAAACCCGAAACCCTAAACCCTAAACCCTAAACCCTAACCCTAAACCCTAAACCCCAGCCCCAAGAGCCAGCCGACAATGCAAGAAGCTCTGGTCTGCCAGGTTCCAGGGCTACTACATCATGGAGGACTACAACGTGAACCCCCGCATCACGGTGTCCCTCAGCCAGGAAACAACGGCCCGGGCCTGATCCTGCAAGCTGCACAAAACCCTTTTGAGAACTTCTGCTTGAGGCTCTGGGCCAGAAGCGTTGAAGTCCAACTCTAAGGCCCTAAAGCCTATCCGAGCAGTGACTCGTAAAGGAAGTGGCCTACAACTCTAGGGAGTGCGCAGTACTAGTATGCATTGTTTAAGTTAACATATTCTTATGTATCTACAGGAAGAAATCCTTGCACCCAGCCCTCGTGTATCTTCCCGGTCACATCACAAGATTTGAACGCGGTAGCCGAAGAACCGGACTTTCCAAAGCCCACAGCCCAAAGATTGGGGCCCTGGGCACTAGACCCAGAATCCGCCTGTACGGGCGCTTCGAGTGAAGAGCCCAAGCAAGTCAAGGAAACCTCGGCAGCAGCTGCACATGTTTCGACTTGAAGCCGAATTCAGCAACGGTCCGAGCCAGCAGCTTTCACATGCTGGGCTTCACAGCCTCAACACAGGAGTACCGCGCAACTTGAACCGATAAAGGACCAGACATCCCAGACAGTGACGCTGAACTCGACGTCCTGGCATTCACTTGAGTGCCATCCGCACATCCAGGGAACAGATCGCAACTGGGTGGACATCAAGCCGGGGCCTCATGAGTTCTGGGACTCGTCCTGTTTGGGTTGGGACTTCTCGGTTCAGGGCTGTGGGACTCTAGCATTACGCCGTTGGAGCTCTTGGAGCTCGAGGATGTCACCGGTTGTAGGTTCGCCCCAAGAGAGAATCTGATATCTTGTTGCAGATTGCAGACCTTGGCATGCGGTCAGGCAGTTGTCTTTCTTCGACCCATAGTGTATAATGTAGTCAAGTAACGTGTAGTATAGTATAACATAAGGTCGTATAGTATAGTATAGTACAGTACCGTCTAGTACAGTATGGTATAGTATAGTATCGTATAGTCATTCCTTTGTTTGCCTTGGTAATGTTGTTTATGAACGAACGAATGAATGAATTTATGTATGTATGTATGTACG